GTCCCAGGGGCCCCACTCACATATTTTAATGACGGGGGGGTCTGAAGGATTTTTTTGGGTCTGACATTTTGGCCAAAAGGGATTTTTTTGGGTCTATGAAAGACGCCGGGATTTTCTTGGGTCGCGAAAACAACAGAGGGATTTTTTTGGGTATTGTATTTTTCATCAGCTCAAATCAACAATAACATAAGCGCAATTTACTGCTTGTGTGGTATTACGGGATATTTCTGAGATTGTAATCTATTTGAAAAGTGATTACCAGCACTCCACGCGCATCTAATCCAGAGAGAAATATTCAATATGTCACGTAATTCAAGGCCTTTCAAACCAGTCATCAAGACCACAATGGAAACACTGTATACAAAGTAAACATTTTATGAATTAGATGTTTACCCGCTGACATATATCTATCATCAAATGATCACGTTGCTATGTAAAACTAAAGGCAAGGAAAACTGATTTTGTAAACTAAACTCAAACCAGGAGTCAATGCTGTTGAGTTCCAGCAAGAGCTAACAGGTCCAGTCAGTTGTGATCCCATTTTTGTTGTATGAAGAAGTTCTCTTGAAAATATTAGTAACATAACATCAAGCTTGCCAAAGTGGTTTATGAACCCATACAAAGATGTGTCGCTCACTCAGTTATTTCAGAAGATAAATAATAAAATTTGCTGATGTAAAAACACTGAGGGATTTTTTTGGGTAGACAAATTCTGAAGTTGGGATTTTTTTGGTTATAAAATATGAACCTCTGTCGGACCCCCCCGTCATTAAAATATGTGAGTGGGGCCCCTGGGACAATTACAAGGCCACTGTTATGAATAAAAACATTACTATAGAGTTATCCTAAGCTTGTAGAAACCAACAGAAATCAAGTTCTACAACACAGTTTAACAAAGAAAGCTAGAGTTGATGTACATGCCAACAAATGTTGCCATAATTTAAGATGTCCCGTTGGACGGTACTTTTCTTCGGTAATGCCAGCTAGCGGGACAAGACAAATTGATAAGACATTTATAAAAGGATTGCTCACTATACAGGACCAAGAACTCTTCAAAAGTAACAATAAACGCAAAATTCGTCAACAATACCGTAAAATCACGCTTCTCTGGCGATAAAATGGCTCCTTTGGCTGTCAGTTTTTCCGGTTTCCATATCTCAAACCCACCACGCTCTAGCCGCCATATTGGATGTTTTCGAGAAATTCGTTCCTAGTACTCCTCGGCTGTAATTATGGACGGTATCGAGAAGACCCTGGGGACGAGGTCAATTTCCCGCCCTTTTAGATCACGTGATGAGTTTCTTTTTGTTGTTCGACGGAGTTACTCGATGTATGAGTTGTAGCAATTCACAGGAAGTAACGACGTTTTAACTCTTGACAACGTATATATATCCTTTTTTCTACGGATTGCTTGGTCTTGTCCGACGTATATATATCCTTGGCTTTACGGATTGGTTTGTTTCGTCCAAATAAAGTGTTAACGCCAGTTTACAAGTGGATTTGCACCTTACAGTTGTCGAGACAAAACGCACAAGGTATCACCCGGGGGTATCACTAAGAAAGTTGGGAAGAATTTAATTCAAATTGTGGCAGGTATGTATTCCCTTCTTTTGCTTTCCAACTCTAAAGGAGAAAGTATTTGTAATTTACAATCAAAGGATAACATGAGCTGAATGAACCTCAAAAGCGAAGAACTGTTTTGAACTTTTCCATGGAATACCGACGGCCGCGGGCAGTTGCATCATGATCATCTTCAAAGGACATAAGCTTACATTAACCCTGCGTGTTCAATCGATAACTAACCAGAGTTCGTAATAAATTAAAAAGGTTTTGAACAATCAATCGAAAGAAAGAGATTCTCAAACCCCAAAACATTCTAAGTTTATCAGTTTTTATAATTTTAGCGGTTTGATCGTTGTAGCCGCCATAATTCTCACTGGATATTTTCCTCGCTACAATATAGCTAGCCACCTACACTTCAGTGAATAATTGTTTTAGTATAAGCTAAGGCGGTGAGATAATTGAGCACAAAAATGATGATTTTTAACTCATTTACTGTTGCCAACGATTATAATTTTGGCGCGCAAATGCAGGGCTCGAAACAGGGAAGTTAAGGAGGGTGCCCACTATTGTTACTGCGCACATTTTCTGCGCATCCCAAGGTAGTCGTGCGCGCAACACGCAGGACACGCGGACTGTTTCTGTCTCCTGTAAGTCTGGGAGGTTACAATACAATACAATAGTTTGTTGACACTCCCCTGGTGGGGCTTTTCAGTGACAATGCGACTACTAATTAAGATAAGAGAAGTAGTTAACAATTCAATTAAAAAGGAAAGAGTGCGGTGAACAAAAGCAATATAAACATACCTATTTAAGAGTTAATCGAATAATAAATATTCTCACTACGTACTATACAATATGCATATTTTTAAGTTAAAATTAGAATAAAATAAGATACTAGTAAGATACTAAAATACTATCATAACGTGCTATTTAAAAAGTCAGTAATCAATTTATTTTTCAAATAAAATTTAAAAGTAGAAATCGATTTTGCAGTTTTAAGAGTACTGTCTAGATTGTTCCAAATGTGCACCATACGGTAGTGGAATGTTCTCTGTCCGGTACTCGACTTATACAAGGGGATGTTTAATAATTGGCAACTTCGAGTCACGCGCCCGGTGACCGCAATTCTTGTTGTAAATTGATCGCTGAGGTAATGTGGAGCTTGACCAGTCATGCATTTAAATGCCATGAGAGCGTCGCGGAAGAACAGCTTTTGTTTAAT